TGTACGACAAACCAAATCAAGTCGATGATAGGAGACAGTGACACACAAACACAGCGAGAGGACTGCACTAGACAGCTGAAAAAATGCTACTTCAAAAGCGGAAAAGGTAGAAGAGGGAAAGGAAAAATCAATAAAGGAAAAACTGACTATCAACAACTTTTCTCCATTTCTTGCTTGTGAACTTTTGTGTTTCCCATACACACACACACACACACACACACAAACACACAACACACAAACAAACAGATCAGTGTTTTGGTTTTAGTCAAATAACATGATTTTGCAGAAATGCCTGCTGTAGAGGAATCCACTTTCTCCACTCAGCAAGTCAACAAGGGCACCGCCAGCAACTCCTCCTCCTTATGCAACTTTGTGTAATTCAAGAGCGGAAATTAAGTATTGTGCATTTCTTTTTTTTCTTTTGTTTTTGTTCCGAGTTATCAGATTATGAGGAGTTAAGGTTAAATAGGCTGATCCCTGAGCAAACAGCTTTTAAGGTGATTTCTTAATTGTTTTTGGGTCTGAGTGTTATTACGGAGGAAGGAACTGGGGCGTTATCAGGAGGAGAGCAGCAAAGGCAGACTGTTAAGAACGAAAAAGGAACCAAAGAGTGGCAGGCTGGCTGCCTTTAGGGTTGATGTAATGTTTATATAGTGGTCAGTACAGCCATTTCCTTCTCCTCCCGTAGACGGGCCCAGTCAAAGGGCACAGATACAGTACACAGGGCAAAAGGGTCAAAGAGTCCCAGCCAAGTATGCTTCACAATGAACATTAAATATCGCTCCTCGAGTGGTTACAAGACCCCGGAGAGCTTCTAAGAACTGTATATCTTCAGACTTTGAGCCATGTGGGCTAACAACTAGCTTTTTCTTTTAGTGGCTTCAGTAGAATAATAAGCTGCCATTATTAGTGATTTTACACAAACACCATCTTTTTAGAACATATATATGACAAGTGTAGAAACGTTAATGAATAAGTGATCCTATAAGGTCCCGCAAAAGCATGAGACTGAGACTATAGAGCTGAGGTATAAAGCAGGGAGGGAGGATGTACAGATGGGTGGAGTTGTGTCCCAGTGGATGCTTTGGAAAAAAATGACGTCCATTATTTGAACTTCAGTATTTCTAGGGCAATATTTCCCAAATGGGACTTTGAGCTTGGGTTTATTTCTGCTCTCTGAGTCGGTGCCAAGCCATAATGGCTTGAGACGTTGTTTTGTTTATTTAGTCAAGAGAAAATAAGTGATACTTAGGAAGAGTGCCAAGGAAAATAAAACGTTTGAGAACTCAGAGAAGTCACAGCCCTGCAGGTCAGTTTTAACATGAATATTTGTATGAAAACATGACATTGTCATAGTATTAAAATCCAGCTTTCGCATTCTGGTATGTGACCTTTACCATGTTCTTGTGGAGCTTGAAGAGGTTTAGTTTAGTCAGATTCTGCTCAGACAACGAGCAGTTTTATATCTGGACCCAGAAACTCTGTCTAGTTGTAATGTGTTTACCAAGTTTGTGTACCACAAAATAAAAATTTCTTTCATCACACTAGTTTTAAATAGAACTTAGTAAATATGTACACCTACTAAATACTAATTATATGTTTGCCGAGGTTTAGACATCATTGTTGACCTCGGGAACAGCAGGACTCAAGGTCCTATTGGTAGCGGTTCAGGAGATTTTGATGATATCATACGATCTTTATCAACAGATGGATTTCAGCTGTCATGACATTTTAGCTGTTCACATTTCATGTTGGCTTAAGCTGCAGGTTCAAAGGTAAAAGTATCTTTTGTTATGTACCTAGTTAACTGTTTACCAATAACAAAAAAAGATCCAACTGACTTATAATGTTAGATCCACTCCACTCTTTGACAGCACCATAACCTCATTCAACCAATAACAAAACAGATTAGAACTGAATGTAATTAAACAGGCCATGTTTAAAGAGAAAAAAAGAAGATAACAATTTATGTTAACCATATATGTGTAAGATTTTAAAATGTGTGACTTTGGTGATTCTCGGTGGTAGTGCTAAAAGAGGCTAAAAGCTGGAGCTGCGCCAAGCTATTTTCTGTGTACATAAAGGCAAATGACCTCATACGGACACTCAGTTAAAATCATAGCCATTTCATCATTTGAATGTGTCCTGTTTTTGAAGTCCAGCAGCAACTTGCTTTAGCCGGTTGTTTCCAACTGTAACAGTCTGACACAAAGAGCTTCACATTCCTTAAATCCAATTCAGTAAATAGAAACTAGGTAGTTATAATTGTATATTCAGACATATGTTTTTGTTTCTAAACTGGTGCAACCCCAGCCCGAGTACAGGGGATTAGCATGAATATGGACAGTTTAACTCTGCCTCTACTTGTTTGAAAATAATTCCACTATCATTCTTTATTTTTAATGTTGTCAATGAATCCTATGAAAAGGTATTGCTTAGCAGGGGGGTTGGTCCACTAGGATCATCTCTACATAACACAGGGCTGTATCTTAATCTTAAGCAATGTTTGTCTCTGTTCACTCAGTATCTTCACCCACACTCAAATGTAGTGAAAAATGCCAAAAAGAAACAAAAATGTCGACAACGTGTGAATTACTAAAGATGAAAAGAGTTAAAAAGTAGCTTTTTTTTAAAAGTTTGACAGTGACAGGTGGGGTTTTCATAGCATTAGCTTTTTCTTTTCAATGTAAAGCACTTTGTTAGGATCTAGCATTGAATTCAGTCATTCAGTCATCCAAATCCTTTCACTTCCCTTATCGAATCTATTCAGTGTATTGCATGATTTATAATATCTTTATGTAAATATAAATACATTTTTGAGAACTAATTGCGAGAAATTGTCTAACACCCATTCACACTTTCCCTGACAGGGCGTTTGTGTGAAGTTCAGCCATGCTAACACCTAGCACAAACAGCAGAAGTATAGTCATACTTCCTCATACAGGCTGTTGTTCCTGTTAATGTACAAAATTCACTCAAAGTGACAGGATTATTTTAATACCTGATTCAAATAGTTGGCTGGCTATGTTTGAGGTTTCAAGAAGACTGAATACTTCAAATGCTGACTTTCGCTAAAGATAGAACACATAAATATGAATTATATTTCATTAAAATGAATGTCATACTTGTACTGATGATGATATGCCTCAACAGACAGTATATTTTATATTTCTGACCTTCTAATACACATGTAAACACCTTTTACCAGAACCCTCAAAGAGTACTGAACCCTTGAACACATCATGTGCCACTGTGGGGCAGCGTTGTACTTCAGAAAGAAGAATAGAGTCCCAGAGGAGTGGAAGGAAGGGAAGGGTCGATGTTATGAATAGAAAAAGAAAAGATAAGCAGAGGTTGTGGGCTCTAGGGATGGGTTGATGCAAAGGGTAAGGTTGAATGCAGAACGGACCTTTTATTTCTATGTTTCCTGGTCTGACTATTTTTGAGTTGTTAGGTCTATTATGTTCTAATTTATTCTATGTAAAATGTTGAATTTAAAGTTGCAAAGACAATATTGCCAACATACGTCCCTACATAGCAATAAAAAGAAAAGAAGAAAGACAAATTGTTAAAAACATAAGAATTACCAATATACAGTCAGCTGCTTATTATAATTCATTAGCATATCAGGTGCGTACTAAATCTTGTTTTTATGATAGTTGTTGATTAATTAGTTGATTTTCAGATAATAATTTATTCATTTATATTTCAGCAAAAAATACAAAATATTTCTGTAATGATTTGCTGCTTTTCTCTGTTTTTTTGTTAATACATATCTTTGGGGTTTTTAGACTGTTGGTGAGGTCACATTGGGCTCTCTGACATTTTATCGACCAAATGATTTGACTGATTTGAATAATTTGAATTCACTTAAATTAACATTATTGTGCCCTGTACAGCCCAACATATGTTAGGTTACTGGTTTCCAGTAGAAGACCATGTATTCCTAAAATTCCTAAAATATAATATATATAAGTTTTTTACAACCTGATTAGATTGTGTGATGCTGGACTGCAGTAAAGTCTCTTCTGTCATTGTTCGGCGTTAATGATTGACCCTATCTGTGACCTTTGTGGAGAAGAGAATGATGCAGGTTTGAGCGATGATGCCATGCGTTTAATGTTTAGCTGTGCGGTAAACAGACTGAAAGGCAACATGTCAGTGAGTGACTCTGGGCTGTTTAAGTTTTGGCTAATAAGTAATGTGGAATCAGAGGCCTGATACCGAGATACAGATTATAACCAAAGTAAAAATACAGAGCTGGAGTTTTGTGTCAACATGCTTGAGTGTGTGACATTAGTGTTTTATGTAATCAGCAATTGTTTGTAGCTGTAATCTTACATGGAGGAAGAACAGTGTTTTTAACAGCAGTTCCCCACATAACTTTACCTGAGGAAAAGGTTACACCCTGATAATACCTGGTCGGTAAAAGAGTTTACTTCCTTGTTTGTACTAACTGGCCCTCAAACATAATCTTGCCATTAGTTACAATGGAACTTTATCCCAATATACTGAGCTTTTGTGTGTTTGCTTCCACTGCTGAAAAGGGAGTGTCTTGATGAATAAACTACAGCTTAATCTTTAACCATTTTTCCCTTTTTATAGCTGGATGAATTACGAGTTTATTATTATGTATTAGAAGTTTAGATTTCCTAAAGAAAAGCTTACACATGATGGTTATTTTTTACAGGCTGATTCCAGTTTGTTTAGACTTGGTATACCTACATTTTACTGGCCAATAAGATTAATTAACAAAGAACTAGGGCTAGATAACAATATACTATATGTGCCTATGTCTATGACCCAGGTGTACAAAAGGCTGGTGTTTAAGGAACTGAAGTTCAGGGTACAGGCTTGTAATATCAGTTGTAGCTAAATTGACTGATGCCCTGTGACATTGAACATGTGGTTGAGTTTCTAGTTGATGCTTTTAAACTCAATGCTGACCTCTGCTGGTGTAAGATGACTGACTTTGCTTTTCTCTGTCCTCGTCTGCACAGATCTCTGAGGCAACATGTCCCCGTAAGTACAAGTTTTGTTTCATTATTTTGTCCTTTACATTTTTGTTGATTTATTTCTGTAGACTTCAAAGAATAGAATTTCTTACACAGTGCCATATTTTGTGTTTAATATACAGCTTGTTAAAGACATCACTCCTGTCAATATGTCAAGACTGTAAAATGATTTGGGTTTTTTTTTCAATTTGTGCTGAATTCTCATTGTTGGTCTTGTTTTTCTTCTTCTGCCTTTCAGCTAATGTATGTGAAAGCGATCCTGCAAAAAATGTAACAACAAACACAACGGCTGTCACATTTGACTCAACACCAAAATGCAACTTATCCATTGAGGGCGGCCCCTCTGGAAAAGGTTCAATAACTGATTTGATTCCTGGAACAGTCTATGAAATCAACTTTAGCTGTTTGAACTGCTGCAAAAGTTTCACAACGAGTAAGTCTGTCAACTTTGTTTAATCACTTATGTTGCAGACCATAACCATGTCTACTTAAATGACTCTGAACAACATAGTACCTGGAGCATTGCTGCAGATTCAGCATGTTAGCAAACAAAGCACTGTCAGTATTAATAAACCCTATATATACATCAGATATAAATAGATGATAGTACTGTGTTGCTAATATTCTCTTATCTCACTCACAGAGCCTGAAGCTGTCAGGCATCTCACTGTCACTGAAATCACAACATCCTCTGTGTTTCTGAACTGGACTGAACCAGAGGGAAAGGTCTCTTTCTATAGAGTACAGTGGACTGATGGAACTGAGAGAGTGAATGAAACACAGACAACTATCACAAGCCTGACTCCTGGTGTCCAGTATAAAATAACTGTTACTACAGTGGCAGATGACAACATTACTGAAGGACAGAGTACATCTGTTACTCTATACACAAGTAAGTAAGCCTTTACATGTGGTTCATACTGTCAGGAAGTCTGCTGAGGAAATCTGGTGGAGAAACCTCTCTGGAGTGATTTTATCTTTTGCCTCTGAGCTGTACTTTACTTGCTGGATCTGTCTTGTAGCTCTGGATATTGTTGATGGAACGTCTCTTTGGTGTTGTGCAGATTTGAGGAGCATTTCTTTCAGTTTCACAGGTAGTGTTGGATATGTCATTTTTAGCCATGCTAGCGGCTAGCGGCACGGCTTCAGGCACGGCAATGTTGATC